CTTTATACAAAATTGATACCAGATACTTGAAAAGGATTCAAAGCACATTGGTTTATAGTTAAATACCTGTGTATTGATCCAGCAGCGGCGTGTGGATAATTGGTCTAAACAGTTTTTTAAAATTAATGTATGACACCTTTTACTCACCCTTCTAACCTTTTATTCCCTCCTCCTCCCTTCAACAGAACAAGATGCTTTGTTGGCAAAAAAAAAAGAGTTTTTAAATTACTTCTGCTTTTTCTTTGAGAGGGTACTCCGTATTGGAGTAACCTTTCCCATTTTGGAGCTGGGGGATGGAGGTGGCTGTTGCTTCGGGTCCGGCTGGGATGTGGAATTTTGCAGCACAGTACACCAGTACACGATGTGTTGGGAGCACCGCTCCGACGGCGGCAGCTCTCCTGCAGAAGGAACCGCCGGCCTTGGCTGGCTCTGGAGCAGGGAGTTTCGGACGGGGACACGGCAATCTGTGCGCAGCACAACAAAAAGATGCAAAACCCAACCCCTCCACTCCACCCTCTCCGTCAAAATTCCGTTCTGGATCTGTGCAGTGTTGGAGGTCTCAGTGGTGGGTGGCAAATGAATGTTTTTCAGAGCGCTATCGCAAGAAACCCTTTCCACGCCTGTAGAAACTGGCCGTAGGTTTAATTTAATCCCTGCGAACAGGAACATTACCACTTCAGAACACAGAAGGAGTTGAGAGAAGGATTGTTTCTTGGGCTTTTTATCTGCAGCATTTGTTAGGAGACTAGAAACGGGATTCTCATTTTATTTAATGTTTTACACTTTGGACAGCTTAGGACATATTTGTAGTTTCTTAACTAGGTAGATAGAAAACAAAAGGTAATGCCCTATTTTTTTAAAAGCTGTACAGGACAGGCAAAAAGTGTGGGAGACCTTTGAATATGAAATATCAAACTCCTTAACTGTGGTGTTTAGCTGGCTTGCTTTATCTGAACTATTTTCTACAAAAGTTTTTGTTGCAAACCACTGTTAATACCATTGGATCAGACTTTTTAGTGCACTCACCCATAGTTTAAAGTACCAGGCTGGGAGAAGGAGGCAAGTTTTCCAGCAGTGGATGGTAAAATCTCTTGGTTCGTTTCTCCTGACTCTGAGCTGGTCTTACACAGGTGCTCAGCGTGGGGGCTCCAGCACCGAGTTGTTCCTCTTCCCTCTCCCTTTGTGGTTTGGTAGAACGTGTTGCAGCTCCAGCGTGAGGGACACCGTGGATAGTACAATTAATGCCTCGATATGCAGAAACACGTGGAAAAACTTTCTCTGTAACATAAACCTTCCTCCCCTTATCCAAACTGTATATTTGCCGTTTCATTTGCCACTCAGCTTTTCTTCCAGATGACTTCGAGCCAGCCAGGCAGTCGTTCGGGGCCCTGCTAGCCAGGCTTGCTCAGAAACTTGCCCCTCTCCTGCTTTAGAGCGTAGAGCAGTTTCCCGACTGGCATGTCACGTACGATTTTCAAGACAGCTTGTACTTAAAATGGGTCTGTCTGCTGTTCTGATAGATGTAAATTTGCCTCTTTCAGTCCATTTGTGTCAAGAACTAAAACTGTGAACATATATCTTTAATATTGGTGGGTGTTGACTGAAATAAAGGTTTATTTTCATGCTCTTTTAAAAATGTCATGAAAACACGTGGAGATAAAACCACTTAGATTAATAGCATCTCATCTAGGTTCTGCCCCAAGTGGTCCAGGCTGCCTGTGGCCATGGTGCCCCGGCGCTTCCGTTGCCAGGAACGGACTTTGCCTTGGGAAAATGTCTCCCGAGTAGCTTATTTATGATAAACGAGCTTGCTCTTTAGTAACATTTTCTGTCCTCTCGCTTGCTACTTTTGCTGTCACGCCAAATCCAGAGGACTAGACCTTTTAAAATCGGAAGAATTGGAAAAAGATGGTCAGCAGAAAAAGTTGGAGTGAAACAGAGAGAAGCACGTGGTGCCAGATTGGCTTTTGAACGATAACGATGGCAAGGTCTGAGCATGAAAGTTCATCTTACAGATGGAATGCTACTGATGCTGGCAGGAAACCAAGACTGATTAATAAATGCAAGTGTTAGCCGAAGCGTTCGGAAACATCAGAAGCCAGTGTGAATGTGTGGTGTTTGCAGTTTGAGGGGTTGAGACCACTCTTGACCTGTAATGACTCTCTGCCCGTGGAGATGGGTTTGCATAGCCATGCCTCTTGGTTTAATAAACGCAGGACATCTGCCTAAAGCTGACACTTCCAGCATTTGCTAACCTGCTTCTTTTCTAAAATCCTTACAAGGACCATGTTCCCCTCGGTCTGTGGTCTGCCTGCGCTGGGTACCAGCCTCCTGCCAGGCTCGGGCTGTGTTTGAGCAAGTGCCCAGTGCCCTGAGGCTGCGGTCGGCCAGTCCGACAAGCCAAACGCAGTGTTCTTGGGGAGGGTGTGACCTGACTGGGGGGGGAACTATTCCTTTGCCCTGAGTGAAAAAGTTTGGTTGTTGCCCAACTGATGATGCTGTTTGTCTCTTGAAGTTGCAGTAAGACTTTCTGGGAAGCCTCACGTGGGAATTTGTCTAGAGACTCGAAGAGCAAGGAGAAAATGTGCTCTAGTGCTCTGGTGTTCATATGTTGAAGGTCAATATGCAGAAAGAGGTGACTGATCAGGTAGTGCTTTTTTTGCCTTTTTAAAAAATACCTTTCTCTGGTAATGGGTATCAAATTTGGTCGTATGCTGCTGACTTGAGGTGCTGGTTTGTCTGTGGTGCACAGCCAGAATCCTCGTGCAGGGTGGTTGCTGGATTGGCTATGGAGAGCATGAAAACAGACTTGTGCTGTCTTGGGTGTCTGACCTGAGCCAGAGTGGAACGTGTGCCCTGGAGTGACACCAGACCAGTCCCTGCAGAGGACAGATGTCTGTACCGCGCTGGAGACTGGACGTGTCTCCGGCATGGTCAGGGAGCAGTAAACCTGTCGCTTGCTGGGGCAGAGGCAGTGCGCTGGGCCCGTGGGTTCCCTGCCCTGGGGCCAGAGCTTGCCCGTGGCTACTGATAAGTGTGTTGGAGCTGTTTCATCTTCCCCGGCGGGGCGGTCATCATAGCCCCGAGAGGTGAGGGAGCTTTGTTTTATTTGCACGCTCGTTACTGGGCAGAGGGAAGGTAAATGGGAGAAGGGATTAGTTCTGCCATCCTCCAGTTCAGTGTGAACTAGCGCCTGGGCAGCGTGCCCTGCCGTGCTCGCCGCTTGCATGTGACAAACTGCAGGATGTGCATTGTCTCGGGTGGAGGATAAGGAGAAGATGTGCTTGGGTCTCTCCTGAGAAAGCACCTGGAGGTCTGACTCGGTGGGACGGTGCGTCGCTCGCAGGGCAGCAGTGCGGAGCAGGAGGGAGGTGTGTCGGGACAAGGTGGCTGCTGTCACTTCCATGCCTTTTCGTGCAGCGGTTCCTTTTGGCAGGGGACCACTGTTCACCTTCCTCGGGCTTGGGTGAAGACGCTGGAAGGAGTGGTTGCTGTGCAGATCCTTTGCAGACTGCTGCTAAAAGCCATTTTCGTGTGGAAGTGGATCCTGCTCTGCTGTCCTGTCTGAGCTCGTCCCCATCCAAGCCATGACTGTGAGCAGGGAGGTCCTGGTGCCACTTTGGAGGGGGCAGCGAGGATGCAAACAAGTCTCAGGGTTGAAATACTACCCCAAAACACAACTCAAAACTAAATTTGTGGTAGTGGCATGAACGGGGCTGCATTGAGCTGCTGCAGAGCCTCCTTGTGCGTGGTTTTACGGGGAGCCTGTGGATCCTGCCAGCTTTGGCACCCCTGTGGAAAGCATGGGTGGAGGGGGCAGCGTACATCGCTCGTGCTGGTACCATGGCTGGACAGACTGTGCACCTCCGGAGCGAGGGGTGGTCGTGTGTGTGTTACTGGCACATCGGGGGCTCGTTCCGTGCACGATTCCTGCCCTGAGCGTGGTGAGCCCGTGCCGGGTGGCTGGGCAGTAAGAGTGTTCTCGTCCTCCGTGAGTGCCGAGTTACCCAGCAGGAAGGATAAGCTTTGCCGCAGCCACGATACGAGGAGGATGCCTGGGGCATCTCGGAGAGATGCAGGTGAGCTGAGCGGGGTGTAGGCACGGTGGGGGAACGGCCGTTGTGGGTGCCCAGCACAGGTGGGCTGTGCGAGTGCTGGAGCAAGAACGTGCATCCGGGCAGCGGTCTCCGTGCTGCAGAGGAGCCCTCAAGTGCAAACCGTGGGATCACCGGACTGCAGCACTCCGGAGCTGTTACCTGGAGTGCTGCTCCTCCTCCTTCTCCTTTCCTCGAGCAGCGTTTCCCCGCAGTACCTTTCCCTCCGCTTTGGGAAGGTGGATCCCTGGGCAGCAGCTGTGTTCAGTCTCTGTTCCTTGGCTCCTTGTGCCCAAGAAGCTGCTTTTAGGTGGAACGCTGTGTGCTGTCATGGCCCTGGCTTTGCTGGTGGGCTCTGGTCACTGAGCACAGCGCAGCAGCGAGGCCGGGGGGTTTGGGGGTGTCTGGTGGGAGCTGGCAGCCCATGGTGTGACGGATCCCATGGGCTGCATCCTGCTTGGGCAGCCGAGCTCTCTGCCTTCACCAGGACGTGTCTCGTGTCTCCTTCCTAGGGATCCGTGCGGCTGTGGGCTAACAACGGCTGATGGGTTTGTTTTGTTTTCAATACACAGAAACAGAAGACTGGAAAGCTCAGGCTTGAGAAGAGCCTGGGTAGTTGTGCTGATCCAAGGGGAACGCTCTGCGGGAAGCGCAGAGAGAAGTCTTGAGGTGTCCAAGGCCAGGTTGGATGGGGCTTTGAGCAACCTGGTGTAGTGGAAGGTGTCCCTGCCCATGGCAGGGGAGTTGGAACTGGGTGATCTTGAAGGTCCCTTCCAGCCCAAACCATTCTGTGATTCCATGAAGTCACTGCTGAAGATGAGGAGAGCTGGTGCCAGGGCTTGAATTTCACATTCCTAAACAAAGCTTAAAACTAATGTGCACACAACTATTTTCACATGCTGCTGCCTATTGCAGAGGTGTTTTCACAGTGCGGGTGGAGGTACAGACCTCGGCAAAGTGGGTAACCTGAAAGCCCAGCCTGGCTGGCAGCGCCTGCCCCGTTGGCACCAGGCTGGACCTGTGGTTCCTGGCGCCTTGGGACTTGGGAGCACGGGAGCGTGTGGGCCTCCTGTAGAGGGTAAAACCGCCACATCTGGAATAAAAACTAGGGGGCAATAAGCCAAGAGATCTCCCGAATGCAGCACTTTCGCTTGAAGTGAAAAGTGAAAGCGAAGGCAGCGGGGAAAGCTGTGACCTTGAGGTCGCAGGCGGGCGACGCAGGTGCCATCTGGTGCTGCTGGGGAAGGAGAGACCTTTGCGGAGCCGCCGTGCCTCTCCGCGTCGGAGCCGGCGCTTCGTGGAGGCTCCGAGACGGTGGTGTCACACGAGGGTTTCGGCACCGGTTTGTGCCGCTGTTGGACAGCTCGTGGAGCCAGCGGTGGGTGGAGGGAGCTGCCTGGTCCTGGGCAGCAGGAGGATGCTCCAGGTAGGTTCAGATGGGGAGGAGCTCATCTCCAGCAGCTTGCTTTTTAAAGATGCTTTATTCTGTGTGTAGCTGCAGCGTAGCACTTGAGCTTGACCGGAGGAAACAACAGGAAACAAATTTGAGGTTTCCAATACTTTTATTTATACACACACACACAGAGTAAACAAAGTCATTAAATGTGTAACACATCCTTCAAACCTGTAATTAGAATACTTCAATAAATGATTTAAATTCTTCTCATCAGTCCATTTGACTTACTGCATCCACGTGCTGCCTGTTGGCTTTATTTCTGCCGTGGATTTCTCCGCTCCTGAGCCAGGCTGGCAGGCTGGTCCTGCCCGACCTGCAGCCGTGTCCCTGGCAGCACCGGTGTCACGGAGGACAACACGACTTGGTGCCAGTGCCGGGGCTGCGGTGAGGAATACTGCCGGAATACCACTGGAATACCTCTCCAAAAGCCGTGTTGTGCAGCCCAGGCATTCCCAACCTTCTGTCTTTCCAGCTACCCGAGCGTGCTGGGTGGGCGAGGAGCGCTGTGTTGTACAGGTACGACTTGCAGCGCTGGGAAAGTTGGTGAGTTGAGGTTTTTTTTATCCCTTAAAGGTGTCATGTGCAATTTGCTGGAGTGGCTGTGCTGAAACGCACCGAAATGCGTTGGGAAAGTGCAAAAAAAAAAACAAACCAAAACCCCACAAATCAGGCCAGGCTGATGTCACCCTGACTGCCTACCTTGCGGAAGAGCTGCAGTTTATCTTCACCCTATCCAAGGTAAGATTCCCTTCGCAGGGAAGCACGGGGGTCATAAAAGATGTTGGGAAGACAGAGAGCAGATTGCACTGGAATTCGGGGTGGTCGTCAGTCGTGCCCGTGACCGGCGGTGGGCACGCGTTGGCTGCGGCCGTGTCGGGGTTGGCGATGTACTCGGACACGGTCTGCGTGTGCTCCGTCACCTCCACCGCCATCCTCTTGTAGAGGTCGGGAAGCTGCTGCTCATAAACCTCCAGGTCTGCCGCGCTGGGCAGAGCCCCGTACGCCAGCTCCTGGTGCCCCGCGCCGCTCTCCGGCGGCCAACCGCCGTGTCCCCCGCCGCCAGCGCGCCAGCGCTGCCCAAGAGCGGCTCGTCCCGGAGGGCCAGCGGGTCAGTCTTCATGAAGGCTTCTTCTACTTGCGTCGTTTCGGGCTCTTCAAAGCCACCAGCGCTGTGCAGGAACAGGCTGGAGGCCCAGCTCAGCTCCGCCTGCCCCGGGCACACACCAAGCAGCCATAATTAATTACGTGATCCATATCCTGTGACCTCCCCCCATCCCTGGAATGCAAAAGTCCCTCCATGCAGCAGCTAACGCTGCTAAAAAGGAAAAGTCACTCCATTGCTCTTGCATTTAATTTGCCCAATGCATCCTGCAATCTAACATGACAGGAGAACAGAGCTTATCTGCTATCGGGGATTGCTGGATTCGCTGCATCAATTAGTCACTTGCATGGCTCCAATTGCTTTTTCTTCTGAAGGTGGTGGGATTAGAAGGGGGGGGAAAAAAAAGTACAGTTTACCTTCAGAGAGATGTCATTCTTGGCCCACGTAGCGTTGGCGGGGTCTGGAACAGCTTCGCTCTGCCACTGCGGCAGAAGCGGGGAGAGGAGCGAGTGTAACCTGTGGATGGAATCCGTGCATGTGGTCACTGGAGAGCTCGGCTTGGCAGGGACCTGCGGGCACCCCGGAGCTTGTCCGTGGTGGCCAACGGGCTCACGGGCAGAGGTAAATGCCACCCAGCATCCTCCTCCTGCCAGGCGGTTGCCTGCGGCAGTGCCAGCAGGATGCAGCTGTGAGCCCCAGTCCTGGAAAATCCAGCTGGGGATGCACGTGTGCTGCTCTAAAAGAAAATGGGTTTTAATCTCGGGGCTTAACGTCACTCCCAGGTCAGTCACCAAGGGTTGCCCCCCTTTGGGTTTGGTTTGGTGGATACAGACCTTCAGCTCCGGGTTAAAAATTCACAATGTCTGTGAAATAAGGCTGTTTTAAGCTCAACGGGCGCTCTTATTATCATTTATGCACTCTGAAACCTTTATTCAGAACAGTCCTTGCTGTTCCCCGAGGTGACTATCCCTTCTAACAACAACTCCGTGTTTTACTGGAATGTAACAGATGGATCTACTCACGCTTTTCTTGCCGGAGGCACAGAACAAAGACAGGCTGAGAAGATGAAGAAGCTGCAGGTAACCACAATGGTCGTCCAGACCCCGGCATCTGAAATACAGAACACCCATCGTTCCGTTTGTATTAAAAAAATTAAGAAATTTAAATATGCTACTTTAAGTTGGACAACAGTCATGGCCTGATTAACGTTTGCACTCATAAAATGTACCAACGTTTGGTTTTTTGGTTCACAATTGGGCTTTAATTTCCTCTCCTGCTCACCTCCCTGCATTTCTCCCATGGGCCGTGGGAGGAACCCGCCTCTGGAGGAGCCCTGCTCCCACCCACAGCGAGGAATTCCCTAACATCCACGGTTCAGGAGCTTAAAAGTTGTTGTTATGGCACGTTGCTGGGGAGGAAAGTCAACAAAAACTTTCTGGTGATACTCGAGCACAAATTTTATCGACTCCTTTCTCGGGGTTTAGCGATCGTTTGTCTCGATCCAGGCTCACAAGAAATTTGACCAAAACAATCTGTCTTTACAGGACAGAAACCCTCATTCCTGCCGTTAGCTGTGGTCAGGAGTCTTTGGGAGAAGGTCTGGCTTTTTTTTTTTTTTTCCAGTGGGGAAACGGTTCCCAGCCTGTGGAAAATAGAGGACCAAGGGCTGGGACCTCTCCTAGCCACCACCCCAGCAGAGACTCGTACTTTCCAAGCAGACGAGCTCCCGGTTGCCGCAGGGCCCCTCTCCCGCAGCCGTTGACGCCGTCATCCAGAGGACATAGCGCTGGCCGGGCTGCAGGTCCGTGATGTGCAACAAGCGCGGGGCGGTCGTGTTGGAAACGTCTGGAAGGGAAAGGGGGAGAAGCAAATGAGTCATAGAATGATAGAATACGAGAAGCTGTGGCTGCCCCATCCCTGGAAGTGTTCAAGGCCAGGTTGGATGGGACTTTGGGCAACTTGGTGTAGTGGAGGGTGTCCCTGCCCATGGCAGGGGGTTGGAACTGGATGATCTTGAAGGTCCCTTCCAACCCAAACCATTCTATCACTCTGAAGGCATCTCTCTCCCCACCCTCTCCTCCACCCGCAGCACACGCACGTCACGTTGGTCTTCCCAGGTACCTACTGTAGACATCTGGGGTTCCCTCCCCGTCCTCCTTCCGCAGGTATACGTGGTACGCTGTGATGCAGCCCCTTTGCTGGTGGGCAGGGATTGCTTCCCACGAAACCAAGACGCCGGTTGCCCACGGTGTTGTACACATCTGGGGCCCGGCTGACGGCGCTGCAAAACATAAGGCTGACTTTTAAAGCCGAGTTTAAGCTGGCTTAAAAAACATCTGGAAGAGTATTACTGTGGTTTTACCTTCTGCTCTTGAGTATCCCCAAACCGATGCCACGTGTCCAGCTCTGTCCCGGTGGAGCGCGAACACGCTGATCTGGTAGCACACGTTATCCTTTATGTGCTCTAAAAAAAGACATTAAAAGAAGTGGATAGTTACTAATGATGGGTAGTTACAGTCATGGCTAAAGTGTTCCCGTTAGCTGCTTAAATCTGAGACAAACCTTCTGATTATTAACACATCTTTCGTAAAGAAGGGAGAAAAAACCCAGCGCTTCTCTGTGATCTCCTGTTGAGGTCACCAGGACCTCACTGTGCACTGGTGTTAGGGCTCGGAAGGATGAAATCAGAGAATCATAGAATGGTTTGGGTTGGAAGGGACCTCAAAGATCATCCAGTTCCAACCCCCCTGCCATGGGCAGGGACACCCTCCACTACACCAGGTTGCCCAAAGCCCCATCCAACCTGGCCTTGGACTCTTCCAGAGATGGGGCAGCCACAGCTTCTCTGGGAAACCTGTGCCAGTGCCTCACCACCCTCAGAGGGAAAAATTTCTTCCTTATCCTGTCTTTCCTCATGGACAGCAGCACTGACAGCCCTGCACTCCTAAAGGAAACCTGGGACCGTGTTTTGTGGTCCCAGGAAGGGCGGGAGGTGGAGGGCAGCTGCCCAGCTGGTCGCTCTCCCAGATGCGGTGCCAACTCCGGCTGCACATGAGGTCGCTCGGGAGGCACAGAAATCTCCCACCCTCTTTCCTCCCTCCGACCACACGTGAGCATCCTCCTGCAGGCTCCCCCTGCGGCTCAGGGGGGCTGACGGGCTCGTTCCTCCCCTGTCCGACACGACGGTGTGAATATCTGCTTTCCCAGCCTCTTCGGAGCACTGGCTGGGATTAGTACCCAACCATTAGCAGGAAGGAAATAGTCTTTCCTTAAGCCTTTGATCTCTTGTGCCTCTAGCTGGCTTGTTCCATTTTGGAAGGACTGGGGGTTTTTCGAAGCTGTTTTATTGATCAGACACAAGTCTCAGGCGAGAGCGACTGCGGAGCTGAGCCCAGGATGGTCACGGAGTTTTGTATTTTTTTTCCTTCTATCCAGAAGGCTTTAAATGCCATCATTTCTTAGGCTGAACCAGTAAATGGCAGAATCTGACTCGTTCCTTGAAAAGCTTCCAGAATAACACCGGAACGGCGGTACCGTCCCACCTGGAGGCGGTGGGTACCTGCTATCACTGCGGACGTGTCGGATGCTGGAAGCTTTACCCAGGCAGGATGCGGCTCCAGGCGCTGGCTCCTCTCTGCCCACTCCACCACGTACCCGCCCAGGGTGGCAGCGGAGGCGACCGAAAAAAAGCGGGCGCTTTCCGGCGGAGGCGGGTGCTGCCATTGCCCATGGCTACGGCCGAGACGTCCCGCGGAGGAGGAGGAAGGTCTTACAGGGGAGAAAGATCACGGGGAAAAGACACCGTCAGCACGAACTGGCCATAACCCATGTGGGCTCCGTAAGTTTGATACAGTTTTTACTGAGTCTCACCCAGTCTGGCACCACGCAACGTATAAAAGTAAACCTTGTGCTATCCCAGCTTGGGCCAGGTTACTTTTTCCTGCCGGAGAAAAGGTTGGGAAAGTCGCTGATTTTTGTTCTTTAGTGTAAAACCAGCATTTTTCAGATTTTTTTTTCTAACAAACTCCAATTGAACCGAGCCCACAAAGCAGCTCTTGTCTTACAGCCCCCAAAACAGCCGTCTACCAGTGACGTTTCTGCACCAATCCTGCCTCTGCCTAACGAAGGGGCTGATGTAATGAGCGCAGGCTGCCAGCTCAGGAGCTGTGCCTCTGCCCATGGAGGCGGGCGAGTGTCCCGGCGATGTTCCATGCAGCACGGGGAAGAGGTGAAACAGAATCACAGAACAGTTTGGGTTGGAAGGGACCTCGAAGATCATCCAGTTCCAACCCCCCTGCCATGGGCAGGGACACCCTCCACTACACCAGGTTGCCCAAAGCCCCATCCAAGCTGGCCTGGAACACTTCCAGGGATGGGGCAGCCACAGCTTCTCTGGGCAACCTGTGCCAGTGCCTCACCACCCTCAGTGTAAAAAATTTCTTTCTTGGATCTCATCTAAATCTCCCCTTTTTCAGTTTAAAGCCATTGCCCCGTGTCCTGTCGCTACACTTAAGTGTACACTTAGCAATGGCTCTGCTCCCCTTTTACTGGCGTTACACCAGGATCAGTGCACACAGAGAAACTGCTTCTTGGAACAAACCACCTGATACCAAGAGGCTCCATCGTGCCTGGTACCGGCGCAGGAAATTCGGGGCTGGGCAGCTTTGGGGAACGCCCGTTAGTTGTGCTGCATGGGTACAAGAGAGTGCAATTTCCCAGGAGGTAAAGCTTGTGTGATTTCCCCCCACCATCCCTTCCCCTCCGTCCTGCCACCTCTCGTGAAAAAATAAAAAACCTTTTTCAGAAGGGGTCGAGGTGATGTTACAGCAGTACCAAGGCAGGACAACTTGGTGGGTCATGAAACTGTACCCCTGGCCACCCTGAAAACTGGATCTGCAGATCCCTGGAGATTCGTTGGGATGGACCTTGAAGAGCATGAGGTGGTGGGACCTGAACACTTCCATGGTATGTAGCCGAGAGCTGCACGGAGCAGAGCCCCGGTGTTATTCCCAGTGGTCCAGCCCCAGCAGGATCCCTTACCCGGGGTGCCTGGGTGGGCCACGATGGATGCAGGGGGGGACCTGCCCCTTGAGTTCTCGGCGGTGACTGTTATCTTGTAGCCCACCCTTGGCGTGACACTGATGTAGCTGGTTTGGGTGGTGAAGTGCACTTCTTCCGGGGGGTTCTGCTGGTCCAGGGCTTCGAAGGTCACCGTGTACTGCAGGATCCGTCCTCTCGCCTCCGACTCGCTTAAAGCCTGCGAGGAAAACACGTTTGTTACTCTCGTCTTCTCCTGATGAGCAAAGACACTGACTGTGCCGTGCCAGGGGGCCACAGTGGGCTGCCTGGGAGGTTTCAGACCTTCTGCTCGTGGAGGAAGGTGGGGGTGCGCTATTTGTGAACCAAGTCTTTGACCTGCTTTCAAACAAA